AAAAAAAAAAAAAAAAAAAAAAAGACGTGTTGCATCTGCCACGTCACCTGCTCGTCATCTGGCCTCGCTCCACTACTATACTCTCCGAATGTGCGAAGGAGAAATGAGACTGCATCCTCCGCTAGAACATGGCAAGATACATTGCTTCTTTTTCCTTTTGTTTTCATCCCCTCTCAAACGTCACGTCACTCAAATTTCGTCGGTTCTGCATGTGAAGAGTAGAGGAGCGAGGCCCGTATTCTCCTACTCTCTAGATATTTTTTTCTTTTTTTTTTTTTTTACTCACCAGAATTAACCTTTCCCGAAGCTGTTCCGAGGCTGTTCCACGCGGCGACGCGTTTTCTTCATATCATATCCAATCTGCGCTCCCTCCGATGACGTGCCAGTGCTTTGCCCGCCACGTCACCCCCTCCTCATCATCCCGTCCCCTCATGTAATAAGCTAAAGGTGGATGATGATTCCAGCAAAGGTATTTGATATGATGGATGTGTTGTGAGATCCCCGGCCTCAAGCTAGATATGCGAATGAAATTTGAAGTACATTAAGAGAGAGAGAGAGAGAGAGAGAGAGAGATGTGTTGTGAGATCCCCGGCCTCAAGCTAGATATGCGAATGAAATTAAAGTTGAAGTACATTAATAGAGAGAGAGAGAGAGAGAGAGAGAGAGAGAGAGCTGGAAAAAAAAAACAACAAAAAAAATCCCTGCCTGCAGTGATGACGGAAACGGACGGTCAGTACGCAGGGACGAACGTCAGCACTAAACGACAAAAGAGTGGTGGAGGTCGGGTGACGCGACAAGCGGCCTCGCTCCACTGTCAAATATGCCAATGTATCTTTCCAGGTCTTAAGTGAGGATTCAGTCTCAGGTTGGACATCTGAGAGGAGAGGAGCGAGGCCCAAGCTACTGGTAGCTGACCCTACCAGCTCTTATGCGTCGCCCGTCTCAGGGCGTACATACACTACCGGTAGCACTTCGCAAAATGCATGTGACTGCAAATAAGGCCAGATACGGATGCATCGGACCGCAATATCACGTCCATAAACATAAACATTAGTAAAAAAAGTCTGAGTGTGAGTATGCCCTCAGTGAATCAAGTTCCGTGAAGTTTCCTCACAGTCATCATTGAAAAACGACATAAGGCCTCGCTCCAAATGCATCTGGAGGTGTTCTCAGTCCGTATACATTCAGGCTGATCCAATATTTCAGCGCATCGGGACCCCCTTGACGTCCAAATACATCTACAATGTTGTGCAGTGGAGCGAGGCCCTATGTCACCTCATGAAGCACCTGACGTCACGTCGGCCCTCGCCACACCACTCACAAATGTGCGCAAAATTAGAATGCGAAAAAAAAAAAAAAAGCATTTTCACCGGAAACCCTACATAATTTGGTCCTTTTCACATTTGGTGAGTGGTGCGGCGAGGCCCTTCGTCTCGTCCAAGCACCTCCACAGGGTAACGGGGTTTTTTATTTACCCTTCTTTTTCTGTTTGTTTTTTTTGGGGGACCGAAATTGCATCTGTACCCCACTTGAAGGTGGGAATACCCGCTATCCCCAGTCCCAGCGCCCAACTTCTTTTTTATTTTTATTTTTATTTTTATTTTATTTTATTATTATTATTTTTTTTATTATTATTTTTTTTTTAAAAGCAAGCTATGTTATTCTCTCAATTTCACCTCACACTACCTACCTACGACTACTCCTAATTGTAGGCATGCGGGGAACCCCGTAGCATCCAGAACCGTGTTCAATCCAGCGGCCTAGCTCAGTTGGTAAGGCACGCAAGTGGCATTCAGGAGGTCTTGGGTTCAATCCCCATTGGCCTCATGTACCTTCCTGGGCAAGCTTGGTGCCCGTCACCTAGAGATATGCCGTTGGTCCCCCCGAGTGGCATTGAGCAGAGACTGCTGATGTTCATAGGGGGAGGGGACCGGAGGGGACGCACAGTGACTGGCCCATCGAAGAAGCTCGGTCCTGATGCTACCGGCTGACCCCTGGCCGGTATCGCCCACCAGCTGGTGGGTGCAGCTCCCGCATGTTCCCTCGTTGGAGGCTTGAGCACGGATGTGGCTGCTACGGGGTTCCCCGTAATACTACAATGACAATAAA